CCTAGACCCTAGACCCTAAACCCTTTCAGGAACCTTTCCGGTCGCCCGATGGTGACTATGTTAGCACCCGCCTCGTAGCTCGCTAGAACCTTAAAAGGTCCCTAAAGGGTTTAGGGTTTAGGGATAAACCCTCCGCAAACTTTACAGCCTGCAGCCTAAACGTTAAATGCCCTATGCGTTTGGGGGCTCTTGATTTGTTTTTTTTGGAAGGGAGCGGGGGGGGGGTTCAGGGTTTAGGGTTTAGGGTTCAGGGTTTTGGGTGCTCTAGAGGCCTGTACAATGCCTTTCTGATACCCACTAAATTAAAGGTTTAGGGTTTAGGGTTTAGGGTTTACCTCGCAGTACCCGTATAGGGCTCATTTAAGAAGCCGTAAAGGAGCGCTCAAGGAAGGACCCTTAATGACACCTCAAAGTGCATGAAAGATTAGGGTTCAGGGTTTAGGTTTGGGGTTTAAGTGTTTTTGAAAGGGTTTAGGGTTTAGGGGTTTAGGGTTTAGGGTTTACAGTAAACGTCCAAGTGCATGGAAGGATCTGCCTGCTCTGTCATCTTTGCCAGCACACGCGGGCAATCCAAGATGTTGGCCTGGTCTCGATAGGCTTCAGGGTGTAGGGGGTAGGGGGGGTTTGGGTTTAGGGTTTAGGGCCGGGATTCAGGGTTTAGGGATTAGCGTCCTTGGAGATATCGTAGAGCCCACACTATAAGGCCATGAACGTTTGCAAGAATGGAAGTGACCCTGAATGATGGAGATATTTGCCTTGCAAGAGTCAGAGGAAACTGCGCGAGCCCGATATTACTGGGTTGCTCTTTATTACCTTGCTAAAATTATAACTTTTAGTACCCCTAATATCAAAAAAGGCTAATCCTAAAAGTGATAAAGCTATAAAGTGACTGTAAAGTTCAACCAAGATTAGATCGTCGGGAACTGCAGCAGAAAAATGTGCGCGTGTGTGCGTGTGTGTACCTGCGCATTTCCTAAACTTTCGTCCGAAAACCAGCACGCCTAAACAGTAAACCCTAATCTCTAAGGCTAAGACCAAATGCGACCCTGAAACCACGAACGGTGAACTCTAAATCCTGAACTCTGAATGCCAACACACCCACCAAACTCTAGACCAAAAACCTCAAAAACCTGACGTCCAAGCACGAAACACCAGACGGTGCACTCTACAAACCCTAAACCTTAAACCCTAAACCCTAAACCCTACATAACACAAGCTTGCCGCAAGTGTCCTGTCCAGTCTATAAGAGGTTGTAACCTCTAAATAAGAATCGCGAAAATGGTTTAGGGTTTAGGGTTAGGGTTTAAGGTTGGGTGAGGGATCAAAAAAATTAAATCAGGATCAAAAAAATTAAACCACAAAGATCAAA